GCACACACACGCACACACACGCACACACACACCCACGCGCGTGCGTGTGCGCCCCCCAGTGACACACCCCTCTCCCGGCCACCACCCCACACTGTCTCCCCAGCACAATAGCATGCTGATTGACAGTGACACTTTCCCGGGGGACGGCCACCATTCATGCAGAATGTCGCTAACCGCTACCCCCCCCCCCTCCCCCGCCTCCCCAGGACTGACCTCTCCTTGATGGACATCTGCTGCGTTGACATCCCGTCCGCGTCCTCTCCCTGGCGGTCTGCCGGGGTCGCGCTGCCTGGCTGCTGCTCGGGCGGAGCCTGGGAGCCGGTCCTGGGAGCAGCTGAAGCCGCTGCTCTTGCAGAGACACTGCTCTCCTGCAGCTCTGCTCGCACGCACACACACACACACACACACACACACACACACGCGCGCGCGTGCGCGCACACAGCCACGCAGAAAACAGGACAGGCGTTACAACCCCAGAGCGATCAATGACTGTCAGCTGGCAGCAGTGTCTGACACGCCCACGTGAGCACAGACACACACACACACACTCACGCGGGATGGAAATGGGGCCGCAGGCTGCGGGAAAGCAGTTGTAATGAGTCTCTGAGTTCCTCGCAGGATCGCGTGCTGATTACCCGGGCAGACGTGCCGCCTGCCTGTGTCTCCCTGCACGGGCGAGTACAGCCTCTGTGCCGGATAGGCGGTAATAAGCGTGATCTACCCCCCCCCACCCACAACTCCCCCCCTGTCTGTCAGTGAGCCGAATACAGATCAGCCCCGGCACACCCGCCCCAGAATTCCCCCCCGAATCCATCTCTGCATGCACATGCTCAGAAAAGATTAGACAAACAGGCAGACTGGGGACACAGGGATGGTGTGGGGGGAGCAAGGAGCCGGCGCGCTGAGAGATATACGTGCAGCCATCTCACTTGCTCCTAAAATGCACCCCGAGTAGTAACAGCACTAATCGTGCCGGCAAATATGCTATTTCCATGACAAAGTGAGCATATGAAAAGTATGTAGATGAGACTGAGCCCCCCAAGGGCCGGTCTGCATGACAAAAGCCCTTCTGGGCAGCTTGAGGTCCCTGCTGAGGGCTCGTCTGAAAGCCGTGGGGGTGTCGCTCGCTTCACATCAGCACCTGCGCCCCCCCGCCCCCCCCTTACCTGACACCGTGGTCTGGGAGTGCACCACTACCGTCGTCTCTGTCTCGTACAGGTTCTGTGAGGACGTCCTCATTTCCTTGACGTGGCCCCCATGTTCTTGTGTTGCCGGGGCGACTGTGCTCTCAGGTCTCCGTGGGGGGGCGCCTTGCCTCGACGGTGGGGTGGGGCCACATTGACTGCACGGGCTCGGCTGGGTGGCTGGTGGATGCTTCACTTCGTCCTCCCCCTTAGGGGGGCAGGGCTTCCTCCAGCTAGCCCCGCCCCCTCCAGCTCCACAGCTGTCATCAACCTCTGCTTCTGTCCCCGCCTGCTGCCGCAGCCCGACCAATGAGATGCTGTGGGAGGAGCTTTTGATTTCTGTTGACTGTTCCAGATGGGGCGGACATGGTGGTTTGGGGGCACTGACGTCATCGACACGGGCGGGGCTGCGGCGCTTGGGCGGAACCGGAGTGGCATCCGATTCGCTGGCCCCCACCCCCGGGTTGAATGCAATGGTGGCAGATCTGCTCAGGTGGACATCACCCACGTGGGCAACCGAAACTGTGGTGGTATGCGCTGGGCTCTGCCGGACCAGCAGGGCCGATAGAGGTTCAGGCTTGACCTTTCCTCCTTTCTGAACCTATGGTAGGGGAGATGGGGTGAGAGCAACGTAAATCGCAGGAACATGCGACAGGTGCGCAAAGGCAGCCGAATACACTGAACGGTGAGGCCGGCATCACAGTGACTCACCTCCTGCCCGACAAAGCAGCATGTTAATTCATCTCTAATTAACCAATAATTAATCCCATTAGAACCCATGCTCCCTGGGTATGAAGATGCAGCCCAGAGCATATCACACATGCTGACACCATGCGATTCCCACACGCTCGACTGAGGCTGAAGATTAGGACCGATGGGGGAGACATGAGGAACGCCTAATGTGCAGGGAGCGTCTTCACCTCCCCATGGAGCAACGGGTCTGACACATCACTCCCCACCGAACTTCTGATCGTTTATACATCAGAAGAGCAGTTATTGTGAAGGCCCATGTGGAATGTCATGCAGAATTTGAAGACCATACAACAGACGACCACATCAACTGAGAACAACAGCATGATCCTCTAAATTCAGCTGACGACAAAATGCAGACCACACAGATCGAAGGTGCAACTTCAATTTTCTGATAGTAATGCCCTGACAGATCCAAACTCACATGTTTATGATGAGAAAATAAGAGTGCAAGACGCTTCATTATACAGTGGTACCTCGAAACTCGAACTTAATCCGTTCAGAACTCCGGATCGAATCCTAAAAAGTTTGAGTTTTGATCTAATTTTCCCCATTAGAAATAATGGAAAACCAATTAATTGGTTCCCGGCCCCAAAAAATTACACCTAAATATGTTTTTTGTTTTTTTAGCATTTAAACACAAAATAAACCGGATAAAACAAGAAGAGCATGTACTGTACTAAACACATCTAAGAACATTTATCAAAACTGTAATTTGTAAAGTAAGAAAATAAATGTATTTAAACAATGTGTAAAGTTAAAAAAACAATGTGTCCTGCCCCGATTGTCCGCTCCTTCCGTGTGCCACGCCCCCTCGTTAACCTCATGTGGAATCCCCACGTGATCAGCTGTTTCTGGTTGTTGTCATTAGTCCTCTGTATTTCGTCCGTGTTTCAGTTTGTTTCCCCAGTCCGGTCATTGTATTGCCCGTCTGCGTTTTGCCTGCCTTACCTGTAATTAAACCCCATATTCCCCGATACCCTGACGTCTGTGCCTTGTCTCCGTTCCGTCCCCGCTCGGCACGACAATATTATTATAATTAAATGTATTAATGGTTTATTGTTAACATTAAAATAACGAATAAGAAATCTTTATTTTTAAATGTATTTTATTATATAATAATAATTACTGTTACTGTCTATCATTGTCTAACTGTATGTATTCAGTTAGTGTAAACATGCACGGTGCTATCACAACGAATGCGAGGCTGAGACTGAAGCGTTACCCTTTGTTTCCGCTGAGATACGTGCCGCGTGACACATTTCCCCGCACATACAAGTTATCTGAGGTTGGTGTTCACGGTTTGACTTCTGAGATTCAGATCGAGCTCTAGGTAATTTTTTTTCAAACTGGTTGGTTCGACTTTTAAGAAATTTGAGTTCTAATGAGTTTGAGAACTGAGGTACCATTGTATTTGGCATTTCTGCTGAGGCTCTTATTCACTGTAGATCGCCCCCTTTATGCCCGGAGGTCACATGTCGTTCATTCAACTGCGGCCATTCCGGCGTCCTCGGGTGAGGGGCCACACGTCGCAGATGCTTGAACGCCCACGATTTTCTTTAGGGAAACATGCCGCCCCCCCAAATCCCAGCTTTTCAACAGTCGGTGAAAACACGGTGGTTCCGTGTGTGACTCTATAGCCACCTCCACAATGGAAAAATGTGACATCTCTAGGATTGGGGATTCAGTTCCTGTCAGAAGAATTGCATGTGCATGTTTCCTACTACTAGAAAACAATCTCTATAAATGTCCGAATGACAATTCACAAAAAAAACACATTTGCACAGATGGAGTAAACTTGTTTGTAGAGGCAGGCAAACATTACCATGACATATAATCAAACTCGATGCAGTTTGACTCGTCATCTCAGGACACACAGCAGGTCAATAGGTTTACGCGAGCTCGGGCAGAACAATGCAGATGATCCCCCTTACGGTTTCAGGCCGAATTTCTTTCTGTTGCTCTTCTACATCATCTTTTGGCACCAGAGGAGCACCCGAAGCAACCTCTTCCTGTACCAGAGACAGGTTGGTTTCACCATGGCGGTACGAGAAGCAGAGTGCTACTGCTGTGAGAGATGTCAGACACGGTCCAGCTTGTAGGAAAAATTCGGGATTGCAGGACCGATGGCTCTTAGGGAAGCTCATCATTAACAGAGACGTGTGGTTGGCCAAGAACTGTGAAGTGCTGGGAAATGTCCTTGAAGTAGAACAAGATCTCAAATAAAGTCCCTGGGTTGCTGTCAAGGTTGTACCTGACGAGGAACTGGGGAATCTGAAAGGGACCCACTGTTATGAAATGACATTTTTTTTAAACTCAAGGAAAGGTGCTGAAGTGGTTGGTTGCCAGGCAACCCCTGTGAGGTTCTGATAGGTGCATTGCATTTATGATTGTACCGGGATGCTCCGTACCTTCTCCACCTCCCCAAGGGTGATGGGCTGGGTCTGATAGCGGCTGGAGGTTCTGCGCTGAGCGACCCCACTCCCCCCCCCTTCCGTCAGCCATTTGGATGTTGGCTTCTGTGCCAGTCGGTTGAAGAGCGCCATCTTTTCTGTCAGGCTGAGGGCAGACAGGTCCGGCTCCTCTGGTACCTTTTCTTCCACTGCTGCTGGTACTGCTGATGTCATCACCGCCTCAGTTGAGTGAGTCTCTGGAGTCACCGGGCTCTGCTGCGAGGACCCCTGTAGGCTGGGAGGAGGAATGACAGGAAGAGATAGCAACCTGTCACCCACTAACTTAATTTCCATGAGAGAAGATGAAAGGACATGTCGAATGAGCTAAATCAAGTGTGCTGGTGGGAAATGGACAAAAAAGATATGCATACAATGGAATAACTGGAAATAAATATGTGAAACAGCAGGTAATCTAAGCAGGAATGAAGAAAACCAATGCAAATAACTTTTTAATCAAAGTTTTACAGATAATGCAAAAGCTTGTAACAATATGTCAGGGGAATTTAGTTTTTTCTTTACAATATATTTTTTTAATAAAGCATTTTAGTATTGAATTATATTGCATATTAAAGTATTTGTCCACTTTTGTGAGATCAAGTTCTTTAAAAAACACACATCTCAAGGTTAAAGCACATGTCTGTCAGTGTGAAAGTACTGTAAACAAAACTGCATGCTGATTCAATAGGCAAACATGCAAGCATCATTGACATTTACACACTCGCTACCTCATTGAAGCAACACAAATGCACCCCCAAACCAAATAAACAGTGATATGACAGTATCAATGACTCATAAAGTGAAATCGAAACATTCAGTTAAAGACTGTTGCTGCTGTCTTCTTAAAAACAAGCAGCATCCCAAACTTAGCAAAAATAGCACCGAAACATGAGAAGACCAAGCTGTAGCGCTCCAGACAGCAGAGGGCGCTGTGGTGCCAACATGGAACATACATGCACTTCAAATGAAAAATCATTTGTATCTCACTCTAACATAGATCATACAAGAGCTTTATGCAGCGCACATAGAAATTTGCATGCCTTTGGTCCTAAAGTATTAAAGACAAAACCCTTGAGAGTCAGGTGGCCAGTTTAGGCTTTGGCGAGGCAGCCGAGCAGCGCTGTGCGCTCTGTGCATGTGCAGAAGCCCCGTGTGGGGTACCTGAAGCGTGTCACTGTGCTGCTGACTAGTGTGGGGGTCGGGATGCTTGGGGCGGTGGTGTGGGCGGTCACTGCTCGCGAATGGGGGTCAGGGACGCTTTTCGTCACATCGGACAGAATGGAGAGAATGAAGAATGTGATTCAACTGACAGTTAAGCTACAATAAATCTACTGAAATGCAAAATAAATCAAACAGAGTGAAGAGGAAACTTAGCCTGGGTTATAGAAGAATCTAGAATCTTCTTATTCATCTTAAATCTGTATAGACTTCTGAATCAAGTTTTGAATAAAATCACAGTCATTTTTATATGGTGAATGTTCATTATAAGTCAGAGGAAGAGCCTTTCTATTAAACAAGGAACTTTAGGTCCAGCAAACGTATTTTACCTGAAAAACACTCATCTGGCAACAATATTCAGTGTGATGGAAGGTGACCTACGTGGTGGCGATTACCACCTCCTCAGTGGTGACCGGCTGTGTGTGGGAACGCTCCTGTAAACGCCTGAGCCGCCTCTCTACTGCGGCGTTGCGGGATACCGGTTTGGGCACACTGCCATCACCGGTCTTCTCCAGCTCCTGGGAGGTGAGAAAGAGAGATACAGAGCTCTGTATAGAGCTGGCATTCTACCCTGCAAAATCGGACATCAATGAAATGAATACAATACATACAGTACAGTTTTTGTTCACTAGCTGTCGAAGTATGTTTTTGTAATACAGTGGTAACAGAAAGGAAATGAATGGGAATGTAATGGAATGGAACAGAGAGGAAATGGAGAGGAGTAGAACAGGAAGAGAATGGAACAGAATGGAAATGGAAAGAAAAAAATAGGAAAGAAATGGTCCAGAATGGAAATGGGGAGAAATAGAACAGGAATGGAATATATCAGCACAGAGTGGAGATGGGATGGAATGGAAAAGAACAGGAATGTAATGAAATGGAACACAATGTTAATTAAATTTCATAGAAGAGAAATGGACTGTAACAAAATGAAAACAGAATGGAATAGAACAGGAACGAAAAGGAGCCAAACGAATATGAAATGGAATAGAACAGAAACAGAACAGAAATGAAACGGAACCAAACAGAAATGGAGAGGAATTGAACAAGAATGGAATAGAAAAGAATGTAAATGGAGTGTAATAGAACTGGAATGAAAAGGAATATAATTGAAATGAAGAGGTATAAAATAGCAATAGAGTGGAAATGTAATAGAGTGGAAATGGAGAGGTACAGAACAGTTGCTCTGGCTAAGGGTGTCTGCCAAATGCTGTAAATGTAAATGTAAATGTAATGAATGAAAATGGGAGGAATGGAATGAAACATCTCATTTTAGATTTCAGTGTTGTTGTTGAGATGGTGCCCCACTCTGCCCCCGCATGGGGTGCTTACCCTGAACAGGGAGCGCTTGGCAGCCACACTCAGCTTGGCTCTTTCGTCCAGCTTCTCCTCCTCCCCTGAAAAAAGAACAGTATCAGAGGAGGGGTGTGAGTAAGTGGACTATAACACAAGGGAATGTGCAATCTCTCCCACAGACTAGGGTTGTGAGTAAGTGCACTATAGCATGAGGGAATGTACAATCTCTCAGACAGATGAGGGGTGTGAGTAAGTGCACTATAACACAAGGGAACGTGCAATCTGTCACACAGACGAGGGGTGTGAGTAAATGCACTATAACACGAGGTAATGTGCAACCTCTCACACAGACATGCAGGCACTCGTGGTGCTGCCCACAGGCCAGAAGCAATGACTGAAGGAGAGACCTAAAATGAGATTCCTTTGATCCTACACACAAGCAGCCTCAAGAACATGCAGACAAATGTACACAAAGGAACACGACAAACAGTAAAACAAAGGCACAATATTGCTAAAGACATTACAAATCAGTCCAGTTATCCAATAATCATATCTGAATATTGTTGTCAGATGAATTGCTCTGTTGCTTCATATTGTATTTCAGCGATCACTAATAACACATTTTTAACAAATACTTCCCTCTACCTTGTAGCCTTCATTGACAATAAGCATCAAGTTAAACAAAGACAAAACAAAACTCCTAAACAATATCCATTCAGTTTCTAGAATAAAGACTATTTCCCTCTCCATTTTATTTTGCTCCTTGGTACTTGCCTTCCGTCTTCTGTAGCTCTGTAGGACTTAAATGGGTCCTGATGAGGAAAAGAAAGGTTACCAGTTAAAAGTGATCAGGGGTAAAATCTCAGAGTAAACAGCTGAGATGCTGACCTATAACTGGGAAAGACCAGAGAATGTGAGAAGCAATTAGCACACGTGACGGGCGAGGTAGCCGTAGCAAGATGCTAAATCGACATAATTAAGCTTCTCCTCTGTTTTCTGTGCTATGGGATCAGAGCAGCAGAAGGTGGAGACAATGGGCGATTCACACGGTCTTTGTGTGGCCTTTCCTCTCCCGTCCCACAGAGGGCACTCACAGCCTCTTTTCCTCCCACTAGGTCCATGACCATTGTACGAGGAATATCATGGGAAATTACGTAATATCCACTATAGCCTCTTAGCATTTGTTTGAAATATATTTTTGGGAAATGGCCACAGCCACCTTGAAGATGGGAACCCTCTTATCATTCTCACAACAGAGCATCACATGGCTCTTTTACAGCATGCCCCGTCTTCACAGTCAGTTCTCACTCCCCATTGGCTGGGGGCAGGTTGCCCCCTTGCAACCCCAAATACACACCCCGCCTACCTATCGGACTCTAGTCGTTCTGCAGAGGTGATTGGCTGAGTCCTAAACCTCTCAGAAGTCTTTCTATCGTCACCGGGGACGATATAGCAGCGGGGTCTCCGCGGCCCCCCTTCGCGCTCCGGCCTGACATCCAACGCTGCCAGCTCTACCTTAGCCTCCCTGCAAGCACCCCCACCACAGAGGCAGTGGGGGAGAAAAGGGGGATAATATGAACGAGGAAGACGGATGGCCCGTTGGAAGAAAACACAAAATGGTGAGGTTTACTATGACAGCATCTAAACTCATGTGACATGCGGGGGCACGCAAGCATGGACGCCAGGCTTTCATTGGTCAGGCTAGGTGCCAGACTTATATTAGGACAGCATTAGTATTGGGAGCACCCCGCTTCTACCATATGGGTCATCAGGCAGATTTCCAGGTGTTAGAGGGTGGGAGACGTCACCAAAAGCAGTTATTTGGGGGTTTAGACAAGGTCATGGATGGGTCAGCCGTCCGGCGCCGCTCCACCTACGGTTCTGGCTTCCTGATGTTGGTATTGACATTCTCCAGGTAGGAGTGGCGGAGCTGTGCCACAGAGACCCTGGTGTCCAGGGTGCTGAGCTCCCCGTTGGCCACGCCACCATCCCAGCTCTCCCGGTTCCGGTAGACCGTGGCGCTCTGGGGCACCCCAATGTCAGACATGGACCGTACGCGGGTTTTGGGCTTCATGGCCATCGAGGGGGCCTCCGTGATTTTATGCTGCCCTGCTAGGAACGATGAGCCCCTCTGGAGGTACATGGGCGTCCCATCACCCAGGTCGTTGTCCCTGGCTAAGCCCTCGGGCAGCTCCACCTCTTGCTGGCCAAGGTTGAGATCCCCCAGCTTTGTGATGTGGCTGGCCCGCCTCGGTGTGTGCTCCATGGCTTTGGATGTGCGCTCCACAGGCCTGATGACCACATCTCCGGCCCTCGATATATGATCCACCATCCTAGAGGTGCTATCAGTGGACTTTGGTATGTGCTCCATCGGTTTCGAGATGCGCTCCTGAATGTATGCTGCATGGGCCTGAGGCCTGGTGTGATCTCCATGTCTGTGGATGGGCTCAGAGGTCCTGGAGATGTGCTGCACGTCTCTTGGGATGTGCTCAGGAGGACCCGGGGCATGCTGCACCACATTCGGGTCTTGCTCCATGAATCTGGGTGCGTGATCCTCCATGTTACGGCTGAACCGTCGACCTATGATGCGAACTGACTGCTCATCGTCCTCTTCCTCCTCTCCTGGCCCAGCCCTATAGGGAGTGTCGCCGCTCCTCTCCCAGTGGCGCACCTCTGAGGGCAGCACGGCCTTCCTGCTCCGCAGCAGCCCCTCTGTCTTGACCGGCGAGCCGCCTGCCACTTGCATATCGGGGGTAAACTCCATGCTGGCTCTCCTCTCGGGGCTCCGGTACTGGCCGATGGGGCGCCGGGCGCTGGGTGTCTGCTGGGACCTTACACCATGGTGGGCGCCGGCCATCCTGCCGTGCGTGGGGTCGGCGATCGTCCTGCCGTGCGTGGGGTCGGTGATCATCCTGCCGTGCATGGGGTCGGCGATCATCCTGCCGTGCGTGGGGTCGGTGATCATCCTGCCGTGCATGGGGTCGGCGATCATCCTGCCGTGCGTGGGGTCGGGGTGGGCGGCGGCCATCCTGCCGTGCGTGGGGTCGCCGCCCATCCTGCCGTGCGTGGGGTCGGCGCCCATCCTGCCGTGCGTGGGGTCGGGGTGGGCGGCGGCCATCCTGCCGTGCGTGGGGTCGGCGCCCATCCTGCCGTGCGTGGGGTCGGCGCCCATCCTGCCGTGCGTGGGGTCGGCGCCCATCCTGCCGTGCGTGGGATCGGGGTGGGGCGGCACTTGGTGGATGGGGACCTGGGGGTGTTGTCTGGGGGGTGGTGCGTCAAACCCCAACTCTGCACTCCTGTGTGGGAGGTCATCTTTCATCCGCCTCTCCCTAGCTTTAATACTTCAGGGAAACAGAGGGGATTAACACTCTTAACCTAGAGACCCAACTGCACACAGAGAAACAATCGTCATATTCGTTATTATTATAGCTAACAGGAGGAATCTGTATTTAAACAACAAGCTTTGTTAAATATGGGTTATAATGAATAAAGTGATCACATCTTTAGCCCTAGGCGACAGTTGCACAATATACAGCATTTTATTTGTTTATTCATTATTTTCTTGTGTGTTTAACTTTTCATGTTCTGTGCAGAGCTGTTATTAAGGACACGGATAAACGCTCTTTCGGTTCAGTGTACGCCTGCTTAGCTTGAATGAATAAAGTTGGACTTTAAACATGAAAAATGTACAATAATAGATCACACATATAGATAAAAAGATCAATAATATAAATATGTTATATATAAATAGACCAAAGGTGCCACAGACAATCAGTCAGGACCATGTGATGCAGGTTAAATCCAGGACCGAACCTGCTGGACTCCTGAGTGACTTCACAGGGATAGACGGCACAGAAATATCCCGTAAATAAAAACGGCAGGACAGGTTGGATGCTGGGAGACCTGGTCCTGGAGAGATGGTGGGGGGGGGGGGCTCGTTCAGCAGAGGTGACCTTTTTCGGTTGCTGTGCGTGTCTTTGTCACTTTGAATAAATGCCCCCCCCACACATACTGTTAAAGCCGATTCTATAACATTCTTTGTTCGGCAACCATTTTGACATTAAGGTAAATCACCTACCGGGTCATATTCTGTCTAGTGATTGGTGTAACTCATGTCTCCAGTGCCCGCTATCTGATCGTGGGCACTGAGGTGCAGTCTAGACATCAGCATTCCCAGACAGGTGCCCTATATTAATCAATTTACAGTTTAGGCCTCCGTTGCTTAGCAACCACACATGACCAAGGGACCCACACGGCTTATGGTCGTTTCCGAAAACACAAGCTCATCCCGCCTGTGCCTGGAACCAGATCAGGTCTTACGCCACCATGCTGCCTCCCAGTCCCTGGGAATGAGCCACACAAACATCCCCCCTGACTTTTTTACTGGCCCCTGAGGGCCCTGCAATGGCCGCCACCCACCTGTCCGTGTCGCTCAAAAGTTGGCACACCCCGTTCTGATCCCTCCCCTTAGCTCGCTAACCACTGCTAACTAACAAGCTTCTAGGCCAAGCCCTGATCCAAAAATAACGATGGATATAGACCTTAAGCAGCAGGAGGCCCCTGGCTGACTTGTGCTGAAGCCTTCGTCTGGCAGAATCTTTAAGGCAGCGCCAATGTCAGGACGTGTTCTGAAAATCCCGTTTTGAAGATCGCGTGGGCGAGTCATCAGCTCGCCTGAAGATACCGGCCCAGCCCTGTCAGGCTAACTTCATTAGCTAGCTCCATTAGCCTATCTGATGAAGCTGTTCATTTGTTTATCAAGCAAAAATCTGCCCCAGTATTGCGAAAACCATGTACTGTAATTAAACCCGAAATTGCGTGGACGTAGAGATTGGTAAATCTCAGCCCAGGACTATTCCATCGTTATTAATTGATAATAACCTTCATGTGCTGTAAGTAGTTTTTCGACGGAAATGGAAAGGAAGTATTTGAAGCAACAGTTTCCTGAAATGAGCCAAAATATCCCCAAGCGAGGGATGAATAATGAGTCACACACACACAACGTGGCAGTTTTCCAGCGACCCAGTGGATGTGGTGGGTGTGGGTTATGACCTGCTGATCGGTTTCCCACAGTAGAGTCGCACAGTCCTCTCCTTGTTGCACAGCCGTCACGTGCTGACATCCTCATCAGCTCCCCTCCGTGAAGAATTAAATATTAGAAATAAACCCGCCCACGTCTTGTAGGCTGAGCAGCTACGGCACCGTCCCTGGTTGCTGTCGCTCCTGGCTGAAATATTCTGGTGCTTATTACCGGTGCCAGTGGGCTGGGCTCGTTGTTCGGCGTCGAGCGAAAGTCTGAATGGCAGCTAAAGGCTAAACACCACAGCAGGCGTGTAAAGTACTTCACAGGGGATCAAGGAGCCAGGGTAGGCAAATTTATGACAATAGGAGAACGTCGCGTAATGGATCCAGCTCCCAGGCGACCTTTTGCTCCCAGTCTGCGGCTAATATAGGAAGCTGCTGCGTCTTTGATGTGAAATGGAATCTGGCTGCAGGGTTTACAGTGTGGGTTTGTCAGGCAGCGGCTCCGTAAAGCTCACAGGGTCAGAGATGGGTGGATCCTCCTGGTCTGTCTGGCATTTATGGCCTTTTCTGTTATTTAATAACAATAATAACAACAATAACAATAATTTAATATGTTTTTTCCACTATGTTCATTTCATCCTTTATGCTGCTGTATTCATTGTTTCCATTGCATTATGTATACAAACCCTTGCTTCCAGCCCCCCTGTCTTGCACCGTCTTGGGTTTTGCACTTTCAGTACTGTGCAAACTCCCCCACGTCACTTACTGTCTGTATGTTGCAGGTATGTAGGTAGTTAACCACTAACATGACATTGCATGGCACATTATTGAATTTAGCAGAAGGGAGTTAGTTGCTGGTGGTAGGGTTGATAATTACAGTATAGAACGAGTAGACATAATTATTGATCTCATAAGTTAAAAGTAATATTTGGATTTAGCTGTTTAGCTGATGAATTTACCCAACCCTCATACCTACCCTGGGGTCAAATTGACCCCAAACGCACATGTCAGGTGACTCTCATAGTAACATAAATATTGTAGGAGCATGTAAGAGCTAAAGCAACCTGCGATTTCTGTTCAGTTATTTAGCTGCTTATTTATTTAGTAGCAGTGTTCTTGATAATGACTCTTTCCTGCCTATTGCATATCCTATCTTGTTCTCCGATAAGACACACGCAGACTGAGAGCGAAACCTGGGTCAAAGTGCAGGATCAGCCATTCCAACACTCCTGGAGCATGTTTAAGCGTTTCTGAACCTTACTTGAGGGCCCAACATTGATATGATCACTCTGCCAACCACAGGACTGTTTGCATGCCAAACAAACATGTTCCTGTGTGATGGATGTCACTGTTGATTTTATAGCCCTTAAAATGACCCCAGGCTGGGCGCAATGTTGCTGCTGCTTTCAGTTTAAGTATATTGGCCCCCACATGATGCGATTTACACCCCGCTGATATGAGTGACTCCCCCTCTCCATGATGCATGTTGCCCCCTGTGATGGCAGTAATTCTACCCCGGTGACTCCCCTCTAGTTGATGCGAGTGACCCCCCCAACATGATGCAAGTGATCTCCCCATGATGCGAGTGACCCCCCCACTCCATGATGTGAGTGACCCCCTATGATGCAAGTGACTCCTCCTCCAGTTCTGACTGCCCCCATATGATGCGACTGACTCCCCCCTACATGTGTGACCCCACATGTGATGCTAGCGACCCCTCCCCAGTGATGTGACTCCCCCTGTGTGATGCCAGTGACCTTCCCCCTCCGTGAAGTGAGTGACTCCTCTGCCAGTAATGCGAGGACCCCCTGTGATGCAAGTAACTCCTCCCCCTCACTGTGATGTGAGTGACTCTCCCCCTCTCTGATGTGCATGACTCCCATTCAGTAATGCACATGACTCCCCCATGATGCGAGTGACTCCTCTACCAGAGATGCGAATGACTCCCCCCATCCATGAAGCGAGTCAGTCCCCCCCCACCTCCATGATGCGAGTCACTTACCCCTGCCTGTTGAGGATGTTCTGTGCCTGCTGCTCGATGAACAAGTCCCCGGGGGAGACGCCGTACCGCGGGTTGGGCAGGGAGGCTCTGCGGCCGGTCCTGGGGGAGCTGGGCACTCCTGCTAAGGGTGTCTCTCTGGGAGGGGTCTTGGTGGAGGACACTGGCGGGTCTGTGTAGCTGGGGGGTGACACAGGCTGGGCTCCCCTGTCTCTGTCTCGGTCTCGCCTGGAGTTCTCCAGATTCATCACTCTCTCATGCTCCGAGGAGCCGGGGGCAGCCGCTAGGGGTCCTGGCTGTGCCGCCATGAAGACCCGGCCCACCCCAGAGCTGCTGCTATGTGATCCCCCTGAAGCCCGTAAGGAGTGTCTCTCCTGTGGCCTCTGGCCACAGCCCCTGCCCCCCTCCTCCAGCTGCGTACGTGTGCGCCCGTAACCACGGCGAGGCGTGCTGGGCTCCACCTCCGACTCCTGATCCAGGGAGATCCCGTAGCGCTCTGCCAGCTGCCGCCTGCGCTCCGCCTTGTAGCGGGCGATCCGCTCTGCCTTGGAGTCCAGCTCTGCCAGCACCGATGTGGAGCTGTAGGGCGGGGCCTGGGTGGTCTTCGGTTCAGCTCGCACCCGGACTCTGGACTGCCTCTCTGGGGCGATAACATCTACAGCTGGTGGGACCGGCAGCTCTTCCCTGCTGTATCTCCGCACTGCAGGAAGACAGAGATGAGACCCATCAGGCTCAAAAATAAAATCTATGTCATCGCTACCATTACAATGGTATCATATCTAAGACCTTTACTCTATGTTACTCAGCTGGTGTCCAGCTGCTTGACCGAAATCCTTACCCACAACACACGGCTCACAGAGATCGGTGGCACGTGTGTAGCGTGGGGTGTCCTCCTCCAGCAGGCGGTGGGACACCAGGCCAGCGTCACCCTCGATGCCCTCCAGCCGCCTGGCGATGCGCTCCTTCCTGTGTGCCCAGGAAGTGGGCAGGGCATACAGGCTGGTTAGGGGTTTGCACGGTCAGTCTAGAATAGTAGTGATGGCCAAATGAATCTCCATGAACCATTTGCTGTATTTTTTGACCCCACTAAGCGGTGCTCTTAGTTTGCTATGGGGCATGCTTTGAGCTCTTTAATAAACACAGAGCGCCATCTGCTGGTGTCAGAAAATACGGCAAATGGTTCATGAAGTGTTTGTTTTGCCCATCACTGTAGAACAGGCGCTTTCGGGGACAAATAAAGTTTTTTGAATTTGAATTGAATTTGAATTTCAGAATCGCAAGCGCCTTCTTCGGGCCAAACTGGAGTTTGCGGCCGTCCACAGACACAGCTGTAAAGGTCTCTTACCTGTTCATCTCTAAATTGCAGGCGACACGCTCAAAATACTTCCTTAGTTCTGAAACTGGAGGGGAACAAATGGTTAACCATCTGGAAGGAAAACAACACCCTATTTAACAGGTAAGTGGGAGCACAAGCAGAAGGTCAGGTAGGTGAACTCGACACTGCAGGAGTGTCTTAATAACAGAAGATATTTATGCAAACATCTCCAGCAAGCATCACTGCCTCTTCCATCCAGATAATTAGTGAAGCATGAGCAGTGTTGTTTACCACTACTCAAACTATACATTTGCATAGGTGCCTGAGGTTTGGGGCCCCCCTGTTGGCCACAAACAGTCACTACACTGGAGGGGTAAGGTGACTTTTTCAGTGGGGGTTCCTAAACCACAAGCCTGCCCCAGGTAATATTGTCCAGAAAATTTGGGAGGTATGACTGTAACCAGTTACTGAGGTCTAGTCTGATTGCCCAACAATATTAATTTGATACACAGTAACGCTATATTCAGATTTATCAATGTTTATCAAAGAAGAATATACTCACCCCTGGGAAGGATGGCTAAAAGATTAGCATCTGTATCCTGGACCACGTCAGAGTTGTCGTCAGAGGAGAACTCCTGGTGAAAGCTACCACAGCGGAATGGCCTCATTAAATACCGCTGGAAATACACGCTATAATTTCTGACCGTCATACCAAAATCCTACAGCCTAAATAATTTAAAATAAAATCCATCGTGCTCCCAGATGTCTAAGACCAATACATTAAGCACCCCAAGAAACTGCTGAAGCAACTGCAACTGATGTACTCTCATTCTGACAGCTCGTCAGACTGACTTTGTATGTATAGAGCTCTTCTGATACTTCAGACCCGGAAAAAATTGAGGCGCTAGGCATACTGTATATAAGGTAAAATAGGCACAAATGGTATACAACCACAAATAAAGATTACAGTCTTCGACATTTTCACAGGTATAAAAAGTCATTTGAAGATGGGGAGAAAGTTCTATACCAGGGTTATTCAACTCACGGTCCTCGAGGTCCGAGCACTGCTGGTTTTCCAGCCTTCCTTTACCTGTCAGTCAGGTGTGAAGCCTCTGACCAATCGGAATCAGTAATTATTAAACAACTACCTGGGGGAACTGAAAACACGGCCTGGAGTTGGAATCGAGGTCCAGAGTTGAAGAACCCTGTTCTATACTAAGGAGCTGCAATGGTCAAGGGCTGTACTTTCAGAGACTCTATTCCCCCACTGGTTGTGACACTCCTGATAAACATCCCAGCTGATTAATTATAGATTTTAGGATATCTAACTAAACCGAGCTTGTGGCTGCGGAGGACCAGGGTTAGGGGCCCTGCTGGTGTAAAACGATACGAGTGGGAAGCTCAGACTGCTGGTGACACTGTTTAGCCGCGGCTAAAAGTGAGGCCCCGCGTCCTGTCTGCCAGTCCGGCGCCCAAATCCGGGCCATTCCTCAGCGGCGATGGTACCTTAAAGCTTTCCCTTCCGACGTCTTCCAGTTGCCAAGTCTAATCGGAGAACCGGGTCCAAAGTCTATAAAAGATGAGATGGCATATGAAAGATGAGCCTGAGTCAGTACAATCAGTACCAGAGAGGAATGGAGGCGTCGCATGGTGCTGTGGAGTTCATACTGCTGAGTTGGGGTCAAAATGCTGTTAACAGCACATTGGCAGTCCAGCAATTTGCCGGACAGCAGTCTGCAGGCAGGAGAGAAGTACTACAGCCGAACATTTATTTAAATACATTCATTTGTTCAGTTTAAATTAACATTTAATGGTGCGCTAGTTTCAACATTTTGATGAGTCTCGGTTAACGAAGTGCACATAGACTGTCCCTCACCCTTTCACCAGCCCAACCCTCTGCTCCAAGCACTTCTCAAAGCCTCCACGAGTTCCCAAAAGCGCTCCGCTGACACGATTGAGTAGTCAATCCATTTTTGCCGACTCCTGAGTCACGTCACAGGAGTCAAAGACATGGATGCTTTACCAGAACCTCTGGTCAGCTTAAAGACAGCCCACTGAAGGAGGGGCTAAAACCTAGAGCAGGAAGCAGAACAACAGCTACGACGCTCCTTGTTCTGGAACCACCTCATGAACTATGTCTATGTGGTTTTCCTATTAATTTTCCAGTTAAACACTGAATTACTACCATTCCCAGTCACCTGCATTAACAACAAGTGAATTATGTTTTAAGATCAAGAGTTAGACTAAAAAAAACATAACACAATGATGGACAGGATTTTTTTGTTCCCTGAAGCTTAAATCATGATATCCCATGCTTAGTTGCAATGTTGGGCATTTCAGTTCCACAAGCAAGAAATCCAGACCAAGATTTTGTTTCTACAAAGCAGTTTAGTTCTTTTGTACCTGTGACTTTATGCTCAGCTGGTTGGTAGAAACAAAATCTTGGTCTGGATTTCTTGCTTGTGGACCTGAAATGTCCAACACTGCTTGATAGTTTCATATCTCGCAATATTGCCCAACATTACGGTTCTGAAGACAAATGAAGTCATCACAAAGCTAGTTGCACAGTTGACACTCTAACAGTTTTACTTATATGTAAAGAGATCTGTTGCGGTGGTTGGATTAAGTATCATGTTTGAGGGTAAGAAGGTAATCTCACCCCCAAGACTTGTAACTGACAACCTGCTGGTTATAAGCCTAGATCAGACCACATGTGCCACTTATAGAGGTAATACATACACTGGCTGACAGGTAAACATGGGCAGAGGGTGCGAGCTACCATTTCCTGGATTCCGGAAGCCATGTCTTTCAGGGTCTACACATGTAATTGCTACATAGCTCGCACCATCGTTATCCGTGCGTTCAGTGGCAACAGCCGCATGAACGAGCCTCACGGAGAATTAAAGCAGTAGTTTGCAATTTCGCAATAAACCCTGTTGACAATTGACCACATCATCAGTTCTTTCATTATGAAAACACAAACTGCTGTTGGTTCCATAGATCAGTGTTCCCTAATCTGGTCCTTGGGGACCCATAGACAGTCCAGATTTTTGTTCTGGGAGCTGGGAGCAAAAATGTGGACTGTCTGGTAGGGAGATTGGAGGGAGCAAAAATGTGGACGGTCTGGTAGGGAGCTGGGAGGGAGCAAAAACATGGACCGACTGTGGAATCCCGAGGACCGGATTGGGAAACATAGCTCTAGATATTCAGCAAAGTGTAGAGTAGATCGCATAGCCCTGTATCATTCACCAGTACAGTGTGGGAGATCATGTCTCCCTTTAAGCATAACAGAATAATCAGAAACTAAACACGCAATCAACATTACAAATCATTTAAAAAACAAGAAGGAACTTCATCTTGGAAGTATTTCTAAAAGACACGAAGTGATTCATCAGCAGAATTTGTTATGGTAACAAGGTTAAGGTTTAACCAGTTACATAAAGATACGACTGAATGGTGAACCCATAACTGCCAATGTTTATATAACACATCAGCAGCACTCCACTTTACATAAGTGTCAGGATGTCCGCGATGCTAACGTTTATTAGCCGACGTCGGCACTTAGCCGCTAATCTGAGACGCTGAGAGCGGTGCTCTTACGGAACATGCCGGGAGACCGGCGGAGCAGCGGCAGACGAAACCGGCTCGGAGCACAGCTTGGACAGTGAGCAGATCGATACTACATCAAGAGCTTTTAAACTGCCAGCTGAGGTCCTTACAGGGGGATAAACACAAGCGCGATACGCAAACTACTCCACTACAAGCGCAAACTTCCCTCCCGCTTTTTATCTCAGCCGTTTGGTCACGGGCCGAATGGCTGGGGGCCCCCAGTCCGGATGAAGAATACCGTACCTTCGTCGCATCTCCTCATGGCTGGTGTCTCCCTCGGTGGGATAAAACAGGATGCAGAACGCCGGTCTCCTCGCCGACAGACAAGTCTATAGTCAGTGTGGAGCTCGGAGCTCAGCGCATGTCTGTGATTGAGGGATTAGTCAGATTTGGGGGGGTTGGGGGGTGGGGGGTGGACTGAAGCTCATAAGACAGCGAATGTGCCAGTGTTTATTTACAGGTCTGGGACAAATCAGAAGCATAGCTTTATCTAAAGCTTCGAGATTCAAGCCAATCACAGACAAGCGAGGGACTGACACTCAAAGAGGGACACACACATACAGACTGACACACACACAGACTGACACATACACACACACACACACACACACTCAGAGGTAATTATCCAAAACACAACTAGTATGCAGAGAACGTGGCTTGATTTGACAGAGAGCTGGCTATGGAAATAATAAATGTCAAGAACCGTAGGCATGCAAAAAACGACAAGACTCAACAACCCACGCTGCTGCATTTCCCCTCAGAGTACAGGCACGGTGTCCACACTCCTGGAAATCATTCAAAGGCACTTTTTTGATGCCACTGGACACGGTTCAGGTATCCAGTCTCCAAGGGTTTCAGTAAACAATAACAGGAGCGATGGAGCCCAACAGGTACACAGTACAAACCCACCGAAGACCCAATGCCCTAGCTGACTGAGCCGTGACAGAGACCCACTCCACTGCCCTGGCTGACTGAGCCGTGACAGAGACCCACTCCACTGCCCTGGCTGACTGAGCCGTGACAGAGACCCACTCCACTGCCCTGGCTGACTGAGCCGTGACAGAGACCCACTCCACTGCCCTGGCTGACTGAGCCGTGACAGAGACCCACTCCACTGCCCTGGCTGACTGAGCCGTGACAGAGACCCACTCCACTGCCCTGGCTGACTGAGCCGTGACAGAGACCGACTCCTCTGCCCTGGCTAGACTTAATAACAGACTGCAGGCAGACGCTGCAGCCCGCTGTGCAGCCATGCAGACGCTGACATATCTGCACTTGTGGCACGCCCTCGCGCATATGCCCGTGCATAACTAAGGGAGCAGCAGGGCTAACGGAGCGCAAGACGATAATCTGATTACCGGCAAAAATTAGAAGGGGTTTTACAGGAATCAGGATGGGGGTGGGGCAGGAGTGAAGTCCCCCCCCCCCAGACAAAGAGCAGAGCTGCAAATCCCCGTATCGACATTAGGAGATGCAGTCCTTTCTTTCAAGCCTGAATTACCACTCATCTGTGTCATCAGAAAGCAGAAACGCCAACGGCTGCATGAAGAGCCCAAGGGGACTGCTGACGGCGAGCCGGGGGCCACCGCCCTGACCTGATCTCAGTGTGACCCCCCCCCACAGCACGGAGCGAGAGGCATGCGGTCCACAAAAAAACACCCTGATTTATGCCGAGCTCGTGGGCCAAAAATTCACAGGTGCTCACATAGGGGAGCGGTGGGCTGGATTGTCAGACCATGACAATAAACCAACAACATGGAGCTGCTCAATAAAACACATCAACCTGGGTCCCAAGCTGCAGAACTGACAAGAGTACGACCTCGATGGACACGCCATTGTCGTTGCCCTCACGAAAGGGCAGAGGTGGCGGCCATGCTGAGAGCACGACCTTCACACTGATCCTGTATCTTAACCCAAACTCAGCAACTACTTCAGCACCAACATCAACCACTGCAAAAACATTTCAGGCCCCTGCATGACCCTCCACACTGCATCCTGTCTTAGGCTTTCGCTCTCTAATTCCTTTTAATATGCTTTTTGATCTACATTGACAATAACTGTTCCTTGCTTGCCAGACTGTTCAAATAGTGGAATCCTTTTAAGTAGATGACCTTAGTGACCTTTTAGTAGATGACCTTAGAGGTTGACCTTCCATGGGTACAGAGGTGGAAATTTCAGGTCCAGAAAGTAAACATCCAGTCCAAGATTTTGTTTCAACCAACCAGTTGAGCATAAAAAGTAACAGACACAGAGAACTCAACTGGTTGGTTGAAGCAAAATCTTGGACTGGATTTTTACTTTCTGGGCTTGAAATTTCCACCTCTGCGTGGGTAAGAGGGGATGACACATGTTATCAAGTAGCTGGGGTCAGGCAGTCTGCTGGGGGTACAGTCTGCTGGGGTACAGTCTGCTGGGATACAGTCTACTGGGGGTACAGTCTGCTGGGAGTAGAGTTTGCTGGGGATACAGTTTGCAGGGGTACAGTCTGCTGGGGTACAGTCTGCTGGGGTACAGTCTGCTGGGGGTACAGTCTGCTGGGGATACAGTTTGCAGGGGTACAGTCTGCTGGGATACAGTTTGCAGGGGTACAGTCTGCTGGGATACAGTTTGCA